AAATAGAGCTCATGGGCCAATGGGCAGAGGGTGGGGATGGAGGCCCCAGGTGAGGCTGCTCAGGGCCATTAAGGCCTGTTAGTTCACTCTGGGAGAGATTTATCACTGCCTGAAAATGCCCATTTCTCACCATTGAATATGGTGGAAGCCCAGAGCCACCAGCTCAGGTGTGGACATCCGTGCCATAGGTACCTAAACGTGGATAATCCCACCCTTGCCGGAAAACTGGGCTGTCTAGCGTCCACAGAGGGACATCAGCAGCTCCAGAGTCAGTTGTGCTTTCTGAACCATTTGTGCATCCTCTGAAAGGGCTGAAATGTCCCTAAACTCATTTCCATTCTGTCGGCAAGGTCAGACCGAAACCTTTGCATGGTCCACAAGTATCCCAGAAGCATCATACGAGCTGGTCATCACCGCTGCTGTGTATGTGCTCAGCGATGCCTCACCCACGTGATGTCTTTCCGATACCCGAAGCAGCACAATGGCTTTCAGAATTGCATTTCACCCCTTTTTTTTTGCCTTTTCTTTTTTTTTTTTCCTCTGGTAAACCCTGCCTCGAGGAGCCCTGGGGACTTTCTCCCAGGAGAGCACCAGGGACCGTATTTACAGCCCCGTCACCCACGAGCTCCACTACTGGAGTCTGGGAAGGAGCACATCTCTCCTCACATCAGGCGGTTAATAGAGGTTACGCGGACGCGGAGACGTTCTCTGCGGCATTTGGGATAAACCCTTGGCTCCCATCAGTCGATAGCAGCGAAGGCGCAGGAGGAGCCCTAACGCCAAGACAACGCAGAGCCTCGCCTGCGTTTAGGCAGTGGGCTTTCTTCTTCATGTCCTCATGTCTCTTTTTTGGGGCTCTGTCGGAAAACAGCCTTACCAAAGTAGGTTTTCTTTACAATAAGAGGGAGTAATGGCTTATGCAAATTGTTTTTCTTTTACTTAGGCAGCTAAAGCGAGGTGAACTGATTGATGCAAGTGTTAAATAAGGATGAGTCTTATTTTGTTATAAAGAAATGCAACATTTCAAATTGTCAGCAGAATACAGTCATAAACAAAACAGCCTTTGGAATCAGCACGCCTTAAAATTAACTCAGTTTTCAAGTAAGCATCTTAACTTAAATCCCATGGTTTTAGGATGCTTCAATCATGATTTTACCAATGTGAATTTTATCCATTGTGAACGATATATAATAGTTTGATAAATGTGATTTGAAGACTGGAATAATAATTAAAAGCCAAAGGAAAGTGTCCGGAGGTCATTAATATTGTGTAATCCGTGATTTCTCTGGGACTGTGACTTTCTCTTGCTCCGGGTTTCCGTGCACTCCTATGAGGTTCCTCTGAGGTGTCTTCTGAAACAAGTTTCTTTCAAACTGAAAGTGAGTAAAGATCTGCTTCTTTTCTTAAACCTGAAAACACACATGGTAAATAAATCCAGAGTTTTAAGTATTCAAGCATAGAAAAACAAAATCGCCATTCGTATTGCTTCAACTCACTCCTTGATCTTTTCTAAGTACCTCAACTGAAAAACAAAAAACATACACAAGTGGGGTTTAGAAAATATAGTAGAATATACCAAAATATGGCAGTGAAACTGGTGATTGACTGGAGTGCAATATGGTCCAAAAGTGAAACTCTTTTTTACAATTTTGATATTTTTCTTCCTTTTGCCTCAGCAGGTAACATCCGGCCATGGGAGGAAATCACACGCAGACTAAATTCATCCTCTTGGGAATTACAGACAGTCCACGTGTGCAGGCCCCTCTGTTTGGCTTGTTTCTCTCGATTTACGTTGTCACTTTGGTGGGGAACGTTGGGATTATGGTCTTGGTGTGGGCGGTTCCCAGCCTCCACACGCCCATGTACTTCTTCCTCGCCCATTTTTCATTTGCTGACGTCTGCTATTCCACAGTCATCTCCCCCAAAATGCTAGCAGACCTGTTATCGGAGAATAAAACCATTTCTTTCGCTGGCTGCGTGACGCAGTTCCATGGCTTCGCTTTCTTTGCGACTGCCGAGTGTCACCTCCTGGCTGTGATGGCCTATGACCGGCATGTCGCTATCTGCAACCCCCTGCTTTACGTGACGGTCATCTCCAGCCGCGTCTGCCGGCAGCTGGTAGCGTCAGCCTACACCGTCGCCTTTCTCAGTGCCGTCATCTACACAGGCTGCACGTTCGGGGGTTCCTTCTGTGGACCCAACCAGATCGACCACTTCTTCTGCGACGTCAGCCCCGTGCTAAAGCTTGTGTGCTCCGACACCCACGGCAGCGAGATGGTCATCTTTGCCTTTGTCGCCATAAACGCGGTGGGCACGAGCGCGATCATTTTGCTCTCCTACCTCTGTATCCTCCGCACGGTCCTGAGGATGCGCTCAGGGCGGAGCAGGTCCAGAGCCTTCAACACCTGCGCCTCCCACTTGACGGCTGTTTCCTTATTCTACGGGACAATATTCTTCATGTACCTACAACCTGCGTCTAGCCACAGCAGCCTGGATAAGGTGGCCTCCATCTTCTACACCGTGGTCACCCCCATGCTCAACCCGTTCATCTACAGCCTGAGGAACAAGGAGGTGAAGGGTGCTCTGGTCAAGTGCAGGAGAAGGATGTTAAACCGCTGTCAACATAAAAGAGTTGTATCAGCTAGGAAGTGAACGGTTTATCTTAAGTGAGGAAGCCTCTGATGGATTAAAACAATTGGATTTTTCCCTAATCCTCACAATTTTATGTAGGTTCTTCCGCAGTTTCTGCACAAAAGTGAATTACAGCACTTAGCCCTGAGAAACAGACCCTACGATCACATCTTCCTTGAAGGAACCCAGGAGGAGTGGGAGCCTCAAGCTTTATTTCACTTTGCAGTCACCAGCCTGTAGGAATAAATTACCCTGAATTATTCCAGGCTTCTCTTTCTCACAGGAAGCATGAATCATAGTTTTCTTGATTTATAACTTTTTTTCACTGATAAATATGTATTTTTCTTGCAATGTTATTGACCTTATCCCTAAACTCCAATAAAATTCCTCCCTGTTAACTGCAAGTTATTATTAGAGTTAAGCTGCTGGGGTGGGAGGGAACATTTGGGAAGTGTAAGTGTATGTTAAAATTTGCTTGCTGGAGAAAAGTAAGATAAAAGGCTTGAAAAGATACAGCGCATTTGTTTCTGACTTAAAAAGCGAAAAAGCTGGTGGGAGTCAGGATCTCAAGTTATACCTTTGAATATCCAGGGGAATCCCTTCCCAGGCTGCACCCTTCAGCATTCATCTTCATTTAAAGGAAGAAAGTGTAGGCAATGTAATTAAAAATACAGGACAACGAACCGTGCCCAGTGTTAAGGACAACTTCTGCACAGTGATAGCGTCCAGGGCCCTGCCATTCCTTTCAAGTGGTGTTTTACATTCATCTTTGTCATGGTCTAACCCCAGCCGGCAGCTCAGCCCCACCCAGCCGCTCGCTCACTC